TATTATTGGCATTGGCCGGGCAACATGAAGTTGAGTCTCTGCCATGTTCTATTTGAATTGAAGTAAATTGAAAAGTTTATCCAAATTAAGCCATAGAAAATTGTAAAAAATGAACGCAGTAATATTGGCATTGATGATAAATTGAAAAATAAATCGAATGGTGCGAGAAGTTAAATAAAATTATTTCCACGTAATGCATCGTAAAATGCACTCACCTTCATTGGAAACAAGGCACATAATTTCAGTCGGACATAGACGACTGCTGCATACACTAATACCAGCTGATAGTAGTCGTGGCTCGCACACTGAAACAGTTTATTCACCGGCCTTTGCAATTTGGTGACTTTAGCTATAAAGCTGTGGCACTTAAAGAATTTCAGCAGTTTGAGGGGCGGAAGGAAGCGCTGTCGGAAATGTTTGGGCTTATCAGAATCTATCTTACAAATTGGCCAACTCTAGTTTAACAAGAAATAACGGCAATCTTGGGTACGCCGACGATTAAATACCCATTTAGACCGGAATCAAATTAGAGTTATCTAAATTTTACTATACTTTTAACAAAGCGACCGATTGATATATGATGTGTTGATCATATATTAAATAGTTTTTATAAAAGTAGTTGTGAGTGGATAGTTTCCATGGTTTCCATCGATAATACCATTATAATACCTTCTATAAGGGTATAAAAACAGTTTAAGATTTTCCGTTTTGTCGATTTTTATCGGCGGTTTGGCAGAGTGGACTTGGCCGCTTAGTTATTTATATATTTATAAATTTATTAGATTAAACCAAAATTAAAATTAAAATTTAATATTAAATTAATTGAAATATTTATGAGATATTGTTTGCCAATTCTTGACTAGCTTGAAATTGTGCTAAATGCGATTTGATCGATATACTTATCGATACTTTACTTATCGATGTTGTCGACTTCGTTGTTTGCTATTCAACGAAGCAATCCAATAATCCAATCCAAGTCTCCAGCTTTAAGGGGTTTCCATTCATATAGACAGCCGGACGGGCCAATAAAACATTAATAAGCAAAATTAGCTGTAAGTTGAGAGTGCCTGATAGGAGATAGGATGGGTGATACACAATTAACCAGATGAATATTCTAATTTAATTATTTATAAAATTATAAGGCACTCAGCACAGGTATTCAATGCAAATATATCTTTTGAGCTTGTGCTGTCTAGTCGAGTTGTTGAATTAAACATACGTCCATTTTAATTACAATAATTAAACAAATTGCTATTCATTTCAGTTGCTTAACTATGCATGGAACAACAGCAACAACAACAGCAACAACTCTGAGGAATCTTTCGCCTGACCCTGCTTAATAATAGCTTCAGCCACAAAAGCAACCTCAGTTAATTTTGTAAAATGTTGGCCCTAACTGAAATTGGAGCACTTAAACTTATTAAAAGCTGAAATCCTAATTTGTAATCCACAAGATGCCAGAAAGTGATTACGAACTCTCAGTGACACTCACCTTGTCAGATTGTCAACGTATTAGCTTTTGGCCAACAGCCATTTTATTTTCTTCACTTTGGGCAAGTTCTGAATTATGCGAATAACTGTAAAACTAAAATTCAGGCGGCCAGAACCGTATAAAGAAATTCTCAAACTTCCTCCACACAATTACACAGAATGATGAGAAAACTTTTCACCGCTCTGCGGTTTAAGCCTAATTTCGACTGCTCAAACAAATTTGGTTTTTTCGTTTTTTTTTTAATATTAAAAATGAAGACTGGTCATGCAGTATGCCATAGTTCGTCTTGACTGACTTTTGCTGAAGCTTTCTCTTTTTGGCCATAAGTTTTAAATAACACAAAACTTCGACACACGAATGGAGGAGAAAATCGGGAAAATCTTGTGTAAAACTTCAGCGGTTAATAACTTCGAGTGGCTTTCATTTGGCCAGGCTCATACAAGTCAAGAAATTAATTCCAACAAACAGAGTCAACATTTAAATGTCTCCAAAATATATATATATACATATATATATATATATATATATATGTCATTTGAGTACTTTATATTCAAAACTGTGTAATTGCAAAAGTCGAACCGGGGCTAACATTGAGGATAAAGGCAACAGCTGCGTGTGTCACATTAACCTAATATGGCAAGTGGGGTAGAGTTGGGGCTTAAGGGTGGCTGGTTGGTTGCCTGCTGCTGGATGGCTGGGGTGGTTTGGCTGGCTTAGCTGGCTGGGTGGCCTTTTTGGCTGTAAGCGTCGCCAGTTCGCGGTTAATTATGTTTTTTGTATGCTCGACGCATAGCAAAATGCTTCGTCGGCAAGCATTTGACCTCCTAGCTGCATGTGTGTGTATATGTATGTGTGTATATGTGTGTGTGTATATGTGTGTGTGTATATGTGTGTGTGTGTGTGTTTGTGTGTGACAATCGTCTTAAATTTAATGTGTGTACTTTGATGTGAAACATTGCTAATTTGGCTTTTTATACCCTGCACCCATAAATATGTCCACAAAAATGTATCATAAATTTTTGCCATTTCACTTTTAAGACTATTTTAAGTAAACTTTGGCTGTATTTTTGTCTCCTTCTTGCAGATTGCAGACCGGATTACTATATATCGTAAAGCTCACATATGAGAAATAAGTTTATATAGTTTGACCTCTTGCAAAGGGAACTTCTTCTTGCCATCCGCCAAACTCAATTTTCAGCAGTTTTACAATGCCAATTTTAATGTGCAAAATGATGAACATTGTAATTATATTTATATCAAATAGCTCCCATCGGATCACTACAATGACAACGAGAACACAAAAACAAATGTAATCCAAGCGACCAAAATTCCCCACAGTGGACTGTGCTTTAAGTGAGCCTCGTCTGTGTCATATTGCGCCATATTTAAACCTTAATTAGTGCTTTGCTTGTGACATTTGCATACCCTGCACCCATTAAAAATGTGCAGCAATGGTATAATGAGGATGTGCACAAGTTTGTAACAAGGCAGTAGCTGTCGTCATTGATCCAATAAAGTTTATGTATTCCTAAAAAGGATTAACAGATGAGTTGATTTAGGCATATCTGTCTGTCTGAATGAACAGAGACAAATCTATTATCGATAGAAATAAAAGCCACAGATTTAGAGATAATGATTTCCTAGTGGATTAATAAATACCTTGTTATAACATATATAAACTATAATTACATAATTATTAAATTTTATAAAGATTTCTAGAGCAATGTAGCATGGAAGTGCAAGTCTGTGTACAAAGATCAATGCGAATGGGCGCCAGGATAATTTGCGAATTAGTTCAGGATATCTCTTAGTTGAGCTCTTTTTTTGTTGTTGATTTTTCTGTGTTGTTCTGGTTACATTAATTAGGAAAAGTCCGGAGGGAAGCAGCATGTGAACAGTGCTATGAATTAGGTTGTTTGTCTGTACTTTTTCTACACCGTATTTGTTCAAAACAAAGATACAAAGTATGTAATAAACATGTGCAAAACAACAAAGCAATTGCCCTGTCATTATTTGAAAATATTTCAAAATTTGTTGCGATATACAAGCAACATTGCTAGAAAAATTTCACCCTTCTTTCTTTTTTTGTTTTCGTTTTTTTTTTTTTAAGTGCCCAGTGCACTTTAATTAATTTCAGCTATTTCTGTTGGCCATTTTGGCACCGTTGAACGTGATCGAACTTTACAAATCGAATAACATTTGTTGCTTGTCGCTTATCGCAGACATCTTGCAACTTGGGCCCAAAAGTTGTTTGCCCTGTGTTAAGTGTTGAGTTTTGTACATGTGACTGATTTTGAAGAGTGTGCTCAAAGTTTTTGACAACTTTTTTAAATTCCAGTGGCACGTAGCCCGTATTGTTGTTTAGCAAAAGTAATTTTGATTTTATTAGCTGTGTAGCACCTGATGGCTTTGATGGGTCCTTAATCTGGCATCACCTGCACCTTTTCACCAATTCAATTTCCCACTGTTTGCGAATTTAACACAACACTGAAAAGTTTGCCAGTAATAGTAAAAAAAAAAAACAAAGCTAACAATTTGTTGTTATAGCCATCGATGTCTTCGACGAAAACATTTAAGCCAGATGCCAGGCAGTCAGCCAATCGTTGCTGCCAACGACTACATGGAATTTATCGGAAGCATATTTCTTTTAAATCCTCTTTCAAACGAATCCTCTCGAAAGATTGCCGTGTCCTGTAAGTGTGAATTGATTCAGACATGGAGCTCAGGCGGATTATCGGAAAGCATGTGTCATTTAAATACCCTTTCGTAGTAATTTTCAGATTGCACTGATTCACTTGAACATTCGTTAACGTGTTCAGATTTAAGCTTGACATCGCCAGGCACTGATTTTATCGTTCGTTATCCTGATTCGCTTGTCAATACTTTAATATGAGAAATTTGTGCTGCATTTGGGCATTTCCACAGAAAGCTCAACCGAGATCGAAATTTTAAACTGATTTTTCCAATATTATATGAAAATAACGTAATGCAAAAATACGCAAAATAATTTTATTTGTTGTTATTAAGCAATAAATGGGCCAGAAAATTGCAAATATGTTTTCTGTCTGTCTCGTGGCTACTCTTAATGAGGTTTTCTCTTTAATGTTTTTCGCTAATCTATTTATGTTATGATTCTTCATTTAATACTTAATATACGAACCATAAAATCAAAATGGAAACAAATGCGAATAAAGCGAAAAAAAACTCTGTTAATGGTAATTCTGTATTTGTTTTGTATTAAGTTGATCCAACTCAAAAAAATAAAAAAAATGACAGCAAAACAATTTCATACATTTTATTTTGATTTCCTAAAACTATAAATATATTAGAATGAGAATTAGAATGAACCAATGCAAATTGTTAAATTATATATTGCATTTTAGTTTAAAATTAATCGCATTATAATATCTTATTTCTTAGCGCATATTTCTTCATTTTTATAGATGACACTGAAAAAGCCTTTTCTTTTCTCTTAATATATTGAAACGTTATATTTAAAGTATATTCACAATGGAATTATATATATGTATATATATTATCAGTGCAGTCAATAGCAACATAAATCTGAAAAGTCTGAGTTGATAAGCAAGTAAAACATTTGGAAGAGAAAAGCATTCGATGACCTCTGATCACTTTAATCACTCCAAAGTTGCGTCGTCATTTCGATATTCATCCGTTTCAGACGCATCGCTTTCAACCAAGTAGCCAATAATATTGAATTCAGCATTGAAGCTTCGCTCCCACCGTTGAATGACATCCGAGGCGGAGACGCCCATCGAGCTGCATGCAATATTGAGCACCTCATTGGCATTGCAGCCAGCGAGCAGAGAGTGGAGACCCGGTTGCATGAATGTGTCCCGCGACGCAGTCAGGTCATAAATGTTTCCGTTGAGTGCCGTATAAATGTGTCCTGTGTCACGTACTCCGTCGAATTCTCTCAGCTGTTTGTGGGTCAGGCGCAGAGATTCAGGTGCCTGTGGCAGCTCGACCATGGCCAAAACTGAACTGCTGGCTTGGCCAACAGTGAGCTGCGTTTGGCACTCTAATTTGGAGCGCCTTTGATTTGTGCTCTCCCGAATAAGTGCATAGACTTTGGATATCTTCGTAGTCGCATAATAGCCCACCACAAATGAGATGACCACCTGAACGATGGGACTATTGAGCAGGGGACGCATCAGTCTTGTGGCCGCCAATATATTGGGATTCTCTTCTACATTGCAACAGCATTTACACGAAAGAAGCACCAGAAATTATTCGATTTATATATATAAATAACAGGGAACTCACTTGTAAGAGAAAAATGTTTAACTAGCAACATTTTTCTTTATATATATTTTCTGCACTTTTGATTATTTGTATTGTCGAGCAGTTGTAGTTGTATTATGAAACAACAATTTTTTGACACAAATATAATTTTGAGAATTTGGTGTTCACGTTCAATGAATGCCTACTAGCTTTGTTAAGAAAGTTGAATTGCATATTAGTAAAAATACTTCCTCAAAATAATAAAGAAACAAGAATTCACCTGGAGATAAACTGAAACCCAAATTCATTAGAAATTTAAAAAAAACAATCGAGCTTTATGTTTATAAATTGATAATGATCCCAAACTATGCCACAATTAGTCAAGCTATCACTTTTTTTATATGGCATAATATGCGTCCTTCTGTTGCACAACTTGAGTTGTCAAATTTTGCAAATGCTGCTCAAGAACATAAATCCTTATAGAGTTGAATATGCTGCCATCCTTTGCACAACTTCCTTATGCACTCCTTACCCCATTTCAAATTAGCTCCACATTTGACCAATTGGTTCTGTAGTTCTAAAAGTTGCGCAAACCCCAAAAAATGCATTGAACGATATTTGCTTGCATACCCACACATCTATACATATATATATATATATGTATATATATATGTATGCATGTGTGTATTTACGTATATGCTGAGAGCACATTTGTGTGAGTGGTGTGTCTTTAATCCACAGTGGTCCTCGGGGGCTGGCAGAGCTTAATATAAGCTTGTTAACTCACAGCGAGACTGCTCAATTCGGCTGCTGTTAAGCCATCTGTCAGGCTCATTTATAATATGCACATTCTGCCAGCCATTTGCTATTAACTTTATGGCCCAAATATGTGAGGGGGCTTAAAAACATTTTCATGTGCGTTTGCTGTCAGTTGCTGTTTTATTAAATTGGTTGTACTTGGACTTTAATATGACTTAATAAGCTCATTACAAATATTGTTTCGTTTGGCTTAAGTTGTATGTATATTTATATGTGTAGCCAAATGAAACTTTTACGTGCAAAAACATACAATCATAATACACACAGATACACATGTGTGTATGTATATGATAATATTGCTGCAAGGATGTGAAAAATGCTTAAAACAAAAAAAAAAACGAGGAAGAGAACAGCTTCCCTCATGCCTGCTGCTTGAATTTGAATTTGCATAACGTTGCTTTTGTAGCCGTGTCAGCTTCATAAAATTATTCATTACAAATACGATGCAGATGACGACGATCATGTGTAGCCCTTGGTTGGCTGGCTGGCTTGTTGGGCCTGGGATTTTGGTTTGGCGAAATAATGTGTGCTTTATTTTAATTTCATAAATATAAACATCATTTGCCTGCTGTTCAAATATAATTACACTCGCTCTGCGGGCTGTACTCCTCGCCTTTTAATTAAAATTGAAAAAAAAAGATATATATATATATATGTATGTATGTATAAATGACTTTGTTTAATGTGACCCGCAAAATGTTAGCCTGCCCCTCGTCGGCTCATTTTTGTTATTAATAAACTTTTCAATTTTGCAGCGAACAGCGGGACAGCTGTTCACATTAACTTTTGCTCGGAGTCCTTGTATATTATTTTTTGCTGCTTCCATTAGCTTCGTTTGCCGCACTTCTCTATTGGCGGCAACAACAAAAAAAAATATTCAAAGCACAAACTCGAAAGCCAAAAAAAAATATTCACAGAAGCGAGAAAGCCATTTAGGAATTGCAGCTTATTAAATATTGAGTTAATTAAAGCAAATTTCAAAGGATTTTAGTAGCTAAAAATTCAATACTTATACCCTGTTCACATAAAATGGATTAGAAAAGCTTAATGGACTTTGCGACTGGTAGTTTTCTTCTTCGTTTATTTATTTACAAAAATCGATAAATTTCTTAGCAAAACACTGGCAACAATTGTAAAAACATAAAATAGAGGTCAACCTTTCTCTAGATTTTATCGCTTTGCATTTTCTAACTTTCGAAGCAACACGGACACATTAATTTTATTTGACTTCGCCATTCAAACAACTGAAATAAATTACAAAAAAAGAACCTTTTTAAATGCGACGTGGATTTGCAAAGTGAACCATAAACAAGCCTTGAGAACCTTGTGTAGACAACACTTTAATATCAATTACATGACTATTCTGTGAGATGGGAAACAGAACGCGTACATTATCATAATTTGTGTATTAGAATAAATTTTTATTATATTAAGCAGCGGCTAACTAGCTTCCATCAAATCAATTTGCACTTTATTGACTGTTTACATTGCATTTGCCTTATTCTTCTCAGCTCACTTGATGTCCTTTTTCTATTATTTAATTGTAGTCAGGCATATTGTAATTAATAACATGTTCACACATGAAATTACATATTAATAGTGAATAATATACATTTTTGCGACAAAAGCCACTTAAACACACTCAATCCTGACCGATCATTAAATAAGACTTTCACGTCAAACTGCGGAAATTATGTTTCGCCCTAAAATCTCTGCTAATATTTGCTTTTACTTAATAATTGAGCGCTTCTGAAAAAAATCGTAAAAAACATAAGATAAACAATTTGGTTACAAAGCAACAAAGGACACTTTAAACCCAATGTACACAGTCAGCTTATATATTTATTTTTCGTAAAATTTGTGATTTTAATAGACAAAAATATTTGAAAGTAAAGCTAGCATAGACCGCCTGGCAATTTTCAAACTGTCAACCTGTGCTTCCGATTGCACTATATAATTACGAGCGCTGTCAAAATTAATGAACTCGAAAATGCGGAGCGAGTAGGTGAAGCGGAAGACATTTCATTTATTTTCGTCGTTGGCTGACAGCACTCATATATATATATATATATATATATGTATGTATATATGAACGTTACAGAGCTCCAAATGATTGCAATTAATGAGCAGTGGCAACAACTTATACTTTTGGGCACGTCTCAAAAGTTGCCCCGAGCACTCGGAAAACTCGCTTGCGATGCAAGCGGCTGCTTGAGTTTCTCATTTCGATTCGATTTTGCTTATATGCCATAATTTTTAAGTATGTGTTCGGCTGCATTGAAATGTTTGTGCAACTTTTGGCAAACTAAACAAAATTTTAAATGACGTATTTGCCCGCTTGCACTAATTACACATACGCAGCGTATTGCGCATTTACTTATATCCAAAAAAATCCAAGTGTTAAGCATAATGCTCTAACGAGGCTCTATGCCCAGGGCATTTCAATAAATTACCGACATTAATGTTGATAGGAACAATAAAAATTATGTGCGCTCAGACCTGAAAAACAAACCAAAACACAACGGCAAACAAACCAAAACAGGGCCAGACGTCAATCCTCTCACGCATCACACGGTCATAGTGGCCGTAGTGGAGTCCTTTCGCACACATTACACACAGACATTACGGCGCATAATGAAAAGCTTTGCTTTGCTTTGCTCCGTTTGCCCCAGCAAAGCGAATACCCGGACAGAAGCAGGGCGGTGACGGATGCGGGTTGCCGCAAAACAGGACGAAATATGGTAAGCATTCACAAATAAAACGCTGCACGGGCAAAACAAAATGAAAATGGCCGCCACACAGTTGGAAAAATTATGGCAAGTTGGCGGGAGAGTCAAGCGAGGACCACCCTTCCGCCGCCCCTAATCGAACAGCTGTTCCCCAAAACAGCTGTACGTCAATGTTTTGGGTAATTTTCATAAATTTCTTGAGAACTTTTCGAAAAATGGTCCAGAGCCCAAAACATAAATATGCTTGCTGTGCGCATGTAGAGAAAATGGACCATTTCACAGCAGGCACTCTCTTTTTCTCTCTCTCTCTCTCTCTCTCCCTCTCTCTCTCTGTCTGTCGGTCTCGCTCTCTCGTTTTATAGGAGTCCAAAGCTTTTATCTAGAGCACACAGCATCCATTGCATTGAAGGCGATGCCGCCTCAGTAGCGGAGCAGATTTCAATCGTCACGGTTGGTCTAAGACCCCAAAGTTGGATAACAAACACAAGGCAAGCAGTGCTTTGAGAACAACGGGCCATCTAATCTCAAATTGTGTGTTCGCAAAGTTTAAATTGTTTGACATTTCCCCAAAAAAAAAAATACAAAAAAACAAAATAATAATAACGATAGTTGTAGTTTGCTTTAACTGGCACCTGGACAAGTTCAACTGAACTTGAGGAGCTTGTGTGTATGTGAAAGTAAATTTTTAAATAGCTGTTAAAACTTAAGCAATTAACTGAATAACTAACTAGGCAACTTAAATGTATAACACATAAGAAACGTATGATAATTAAATAAAAACCCTCCCAGATTCCTCTGCAGTACAAAAATATTAAGTATTTATATAAATGTTTTCTAAGTTCTAATAATCTAAAATTTGTGGAAGATTTTAACTGACTGTAAATACTAAATAAAATACCGGCTGTAAAATTTCACAATTACAATTAATTAAAAAGTAAAAATATTTCAGTCGCGTAATGCTCTGTTTCTAGTTTTAACTTGGAAAAATACATTCACTGTGACTTTAAAACATTCAAATATATTTTGATTTTGGAGCAACTCTTACCATTCCATGGACAGTTGGAAAGAACTTCTCAAGACAAATAAACCAATCCCAACTGTTTCCATACACAAGCAGAGCATACTAATAAAATAAAAATCCATCCCGAGTGTTGGCAAGTGTAAACAAAAGTGTCCCAAACAAATAACTTAAAATGAATTCTATAGTAAATTAAATAAAATAAAAAAAAACACAAACATCATAAGGCAACAACAAAAACAAGATAGATGATAAGGCAGAAACTGTGAAACAAGTGAGAAGCGGACATCCTCTGTTTGTTTCCTTAAACTGTAGTCTCCAAGTTTTTGAGTTTTTCTCATGAAAATTGTCACAAATCTTTTGTGTTTTGATAAAGGCACTGTCTCGCAGCCAGCCTAATGGGACTGCTAGCAGAAAATCTCAACAATGTCAGGATTTATTGTATGTAACACTAAATAAAATTGTTGAGAATAGTTTACAAATTATGCGGTTGTTTTATGGACAGCA